TTTATTGCTTTAACTTGGTGCTGCGAGCACGAGCAGCATTCTGTGCGTCCCACGGCTTCCTCCGTGTCCCATCTGGCGCCGCCATCCCCCAACTTGCTTCCCGGTTTCCCCAAGCCCCCTATTAGTTCCTTTCTTGTTCTCAGTCTGCCTGGCTGCCATGACGTAACATCGTGCACGTCTGTGCTTGTACACTGTAGAGTTCCTCAAGTATTTCTTGGTGCCTGCAGATTTCACAGATAGCTCTGGATTAGACAGTGGTTATTGTTGTTTTTCAAGGTTTCTTGGATTAACATGGTGAAAACTGAGCTACCTTTGATTGGGTCGCTGCAGAAGGTTTCATTGTGGTGGCTTTGTCGGTCCGTTCTGCTCACTTTCATTGGTAAGTTTGGGATAGTGGATCTTTAGTCATTTGCAATGCAAAGTAAGATGGCTCACAGCCACCTCCAGAAATGTCACTGGATTGGGACTTGAGCAGCTGGCTGGCCGAACCTTTCGTCCACGTTTTTGTTTCATCCAGAAGTGCTGCAGCTGCCCTAGATACAATTCTTCAAAGTCTGAAGTAGCTACCAAATTCACAGGTTAGACTGCACTATGGACGTAAGTTCTTCCATCGCCCCCTTCAGGAGCTTCTGATAAAGCCGAGAGTTGATATTTTAGGCTTATCTTAGTTACACTTATTTGAGGTTTCCATTCCTTTGAGGACAGCTGGCTCTTCTTCATTCAGCCTCCAAATGACTTCGGTCCGTTTTTGTGTGTGTGTTCAGACCCCCGCTTATCCGTCACATCCTGCAAACAATCGTCCTTTGTGGGCCAATGGCATTTGCTCTCTTGGGTGTTCAAACTTGGGACTCACTGGCCACATCGTCATGAAAACTGAACATTTAGGGGATATTTATGTTTTTGAGGGAATTTGCACAGCATCCCGGGGCTAGGTCCTGCAGTAAGTTAAGGCGGCAACCTTCTACACCTGTAGAGCAAAGCCACATGGAAATGAATGTCAGGATCCCATCCCTCACGGGTGTGTGTGCACATTAGGGATGTAATAGTGTAGTTGATTAACCGATAAGCAAAATGGTGTTCCGCTGAAAATAAGGGTTCAGCAAGAAAATTCCATTACAATAACATTGTATTATTTAAAAAAGAATCATTAATATTTAAGCATTCATGAATTTTATTGAAAACAATTTTCAGTTTTCAATTGTCCCTGCATAATGCCAACTTAGCCAGAGAGTGGGGATGATGATGTCACTACCCAGCACGGCACGCAGTCAGTGGTGCGATCGCCTGTTGTATACCACCGTAAATCCCCATACTCGCTCTCGGGGAGCGTGGATCACATGGGTGACTGAATGCGACTAGACTAGCGCCGTGTTGGGCAAAGTCAAAGTTTTGTGATTTTTGTTTGTAAATACGTGCAATTAAACTAAATGTTGATCTCATGACCTTGTTTAGCATTTGTTTATTATTCTCCTTACTTATTTGTGGTCTACTTTTTCCGCTCCATATATGAGACTGTTATTAGGGGTGCCACAACATTATTTTAAGGTTAAAAGGGTTCCGTGGCCAAATAAAATTGGGACACACTGCTAGAGAGACTACACGCAGTTTCTTCTCACCCCCCACACCTTGCCAGTACGTTTTTCAGCAGGCTGCCCAGCATCCCAGCTCAGATCTGGCTCTGCATTTAAAGTGTATTAGGAGCCAACCTAACTCAGTTTTGGCTCACGCCGGGTCTGGGAGCTCAGACCCACCCCAGACAGGGGCTGCTGCCACCCTGCGCCGCTGCCTCTGTATCAGAGGCAGCAGCAGAGAGTGACAGGCAGCTGGTCCGTGAGGGGAGTTGATTTTTAAACTGGCACTCAAGGACCAGCTCCTGCCTGGCACCCCACGCTGCTGCCTCTGATGCAGAGGCAGCAGCACAGAGCGGCAAGGACTTCTCGGGAGTGGGGCTGGAACACACTGGCTGCTGGCCCCATCGCCAGGGACTATAAAATAGTCGACTAACCGATAAGAATTCATGAGGTTACTCGACTGTTCAATTAACCAATATTTAACATCCCTAGCCCACGTGTAAAAAACACAATGCCCGGTGGCACAAGTGACCATCTCTGCCAATGGACAAAACACTTCGAAGTGTGACTAGAGCAGCCTTTTTCTGATTGCGGCTGGACTAAGGAGGGGATTGCATATAGATAAATGAGAGGTGTGGGGTCTGGAAGAGAATTGACTGATACAGGTAAGATGCTAGAGTTGATTTAAAAACAAGGCATCACAGACCAGCTGGTAAGGAGAGTCTACCGTATCAGCCCTTTGCGGAGAATTCCTGTGTACAAATGACTATTTGAACATGGAACGGATGGCCCTAGGCCCGAGCCGTAAGTAATGTAAGTCGCCTCAGAGAGAACTGGACAAAACTGAGGTACTAACCAAACTAGGATATAATTGAGTTTTTCCAAGGATTACTAAAGCCAAGCTTTGGATTTAGTAGTAGTGTTTTACTCCTTCACTGTTCCTGGATCAGTACTAGACATAGAATTGTTTAGCCACGAGGAAGGCGGCTTGTCACTTTATTTGTATTGTTCTGATTGTGTCTGTCAGGATAGTCTATACTGGTGGGTTGGGTGTGTGCGGTGTGTTATCCGCACAACATGTGGAGGGGACTACACCTCTGAAGAAAGACGCCTACAAATCATAGCCTGCCTGCATTCTCACTGATGAAAACCATTGATGTGTATCTGCAGCGTGCAGCCCAAAATAGGCCTGAGGGGTCTGTCTAAGGCCTGCCATCCCAGAGAGACGTCTCAACGGGTTTGCAGTCCATTCTGTTTTCTCTGTACCTCCTCCAGTTCTCCCTCTCAGGCAGCTATTCTCGCTGAAATCAGTTGAGGCTTGGAAGATGGGGTATCATGTCGGGTTAGGAAGCAACCTTTCTTCTTTGAGTGCTGAGCTCTTTGGACTCTTGTCAACAGTGAGTTTGGTGTCCGTCTGCCCCCTCGACCAGCAAGGCAGCCTGTCCGTGCAGGGACTGGAACCCAGCCACGTCTGGGTTCGGAGAGTCATTTTCACTGCTCATGCGGCGTTTCCCATTATGTTAACTGGCTACGCTTTTCCCCACCGGTAGCGTGGCCTTGCCTACTGCCAACTTATAAACAGCCTGACCTCCCTCTTCTGAAAGTTGGCACAAAGTTCTCTGTAGGGTGTCAGAGAGAACTTTTCACTTCCCAACGGGTTCCTTAGGACCGACAGCTGGCTCTTGAGAAGAGGGGCATGACCCACAGGTCATCAAAGGTGCCAGTGATCAAGACTGGGCTGTGTTCACTGCTGTGGTTCTGTCACTACCTTCACTGAGTCTGGCTCAGCCCACTGCAAAGAGCTCTCAGCTCCTGAATGTTACATCCCCAGCTCGCTTTGCACTAGAAGAGAGATCACATTCCTCCCATGCGTGGCCGGCCGCACAGATCCCTCTGCCCTTTTGGAGACTACAACAGTTCTCCTTTTCCGACCAGATTTAGGAACTGTAGCAGTTTTGATCATTGGTCTTGCGTTTGGCCCGTAGACTCTGAGGCCTTGTCTACACTAAACGGAAGATCGCTGCTGCTGTGATCGATCTTCCAGAGTTCGATTTAGTGAGTCTAGTTAAGACTCGCTAAATCAAACCCAGAGGGCGCTTCTTCCAGCATCTGGTGGTACTGCTTTTGCGAGGAGTAAGGGAAGCCAATGCTGGGGACACCGCCAAACTCAGCTTAAGGTGAGCTGACTCCAGCTAGAGTTGCGTACCTTAAGACGAGCTGCTGGGTCTAGTGAAGACCTGGCCTAAGCAACAATCGTTACAGTTACAGTATGCAGCTGGGGTTTGAGCAGTAAGCCAATGGCAGGATTTGCACAGATTTGTGACTATACAGGGAGCCTAGTTTTCTAAATCAAATTCAGCATTTCTGCTACAAGTGAACCAACCGTTGAGTAAACTAGTGTTTGGCAGAGTAAAACTAGGAGCATAGCTGCATGGTAGATGGAGGTTGGCTTCAGTTTTAAATGTTGGTGATTTTAAGGCAGGGGTGGGGAACCTCAGGCCCGGGGGCTAGATGCAGTCCCTGGTGGCCTAGATCCGACTCCTGATGCTCAGGGCCCTCCCCCACCCCAGCATTGGGGAGCCTGCGCTAACACTGTAGCCCCCTTTCCACTACCCTGCAGGTCTGGAGCACACACCATCTCCCCGCCTTGGTCCCACTAGCTCTGGTGTTTGGGGAGAGTCTTTGGGGCCACATCAGTGAAGGGTTTTGTGGTAGGGTTTTTTTCTTCTCACTTGTGTGCGGCCCCTGATGAATTGTTCTGTAGGTCAGTGGCCCCCAACCCCAAAAAGGTTCCCCACCCCTGTTTTAAGGGATGACGAAACTATAGGCAAATATGATGTGATCGCTGCTTCTGATGGCGATGAACTGGACAAACTGCCGATCTGCAGTATCGCGTCCTAGGCCATTCTCCTTCCTCTTCCCCTCTTGGTTTCTCGCCGCTGTTAGGTCTCATCATGTCGCGTGTAAGCGCTTTGTGTCAGAGACGGTCATTTTGCATATATTTGTGCCAGGCCGAGCGCGGTGAGGCCCCACCTAGAGAAGGCCCTAGACATCAGCACAGCATGAATGTTAAAAAATACTAAACTGAAAACTCTCTCCTTCCTACAAGCTTGGATCTACTGTACCACAGCCTGGTATGATGAGGCCGTAAGAGTCAACAAAAAATAATTAGGCAGCGCTTCTTTCCAGACTTCGGGAGAATAGATGGGAGGTTCATTAGCAGTGTCTCTTTATTAGATTTGACTGGCGAAAGCTGTTACTTCCTAGGCTGTGTTTATATTGTTCTAGGAACATTTCCAACTCTAAGAAGCTAACGAGAGTTGGATTTATTTTTCAGGAAATTTGAAGAAAGGGGGGGAAAAAGTTGACTTTAAAAAAGCAAGGAGAAGCGACTGACCTGGCTCAATCTGTTTCTCTCCCATTTCCCAGGGCCACCCGTTCATCGTGCAGTACAACGATGGGAGTGCCGAAGTTGTCTCCATGTGGGTGTGCCGAATGCTAGAAGAGCGGCGCTCGCACCACGGACTTCAGTGAGCAGCAAGGAAGCAGCGGAGGCCAGAGAACCTGGGACAAGCAAAAGGCAAATCTGCTCCACGTCGCACTGTCAAGAGAAATGGCATATTTCCCTGAAAAAGTATTTTTTTAGAAGCATCGGCAAAGCCTTTCCGGATATTTGCTGCTGCGTTTTCTGACTTTAGGGCATTTTCTCCAAACATTTCCTTTGTTGCTGACTGATTTAATGTGCTCGCATTGTCTTCAGTCAAACTGTACACCGCCTTAAGGCATCCCTCGTATATATATATATATATATCTATTTTTTGTTATTGACTGTACTGTATAATTCTTGGCTCCAGAGTATTTTTTAACCTTTTAGTCTTTTGCTATTGTAAAAATGACACGTTGACTGTACAAAGACATTTCTGAGCCAAGTGTAAACTGTCTTTGGCCGCAGATTTCAAGGATGTGTTTGGGGTTTTTTAAGTGTATTTGTTTAAGAAAGCACAACGCTGGCATTCATCATCTGTATAGGAGGTGCAGGTGTCATCTTGGAAGAATAAAAATGCCACAAGTGTATTAAGTCATGCTGTGCAAATGTCATGGATTTTATTGGTGGCTATGGCGGGGTAAAACTACAATCCAGGATCAAATCCTGCCTTTAAAGGCCATAGGAACCAAGCATGCATCCCTGAACAAATTGAGCTGTTGGGATTTTTTTTCTGACTAACATGCTATATCTCTATAGTTTCCAGTAATCTGTAGAGCCCTGCAAATCCATGGATATCCGCTTTATATCCACTGGTATTGGCATCCCTACATTTGATGTGGATATCTGCGGATGGTTTTTCACATATGCGGATTCCAATTTTGTATCTATGCAGGGCTCTCGTAATCTGCCCAGTCTAGTCTTAAATGCCCCAAGTCCTAGTGCTTCAGCCACCTCCGTTGGGAAATTCTATCCCAGACCAAAGCTTATTCCTAGGTGTAGCTCCGCTTGCGCACTGTCTATCTTCTCCTCATCCCAAGTAAACTCCTTCCGCATTGCCTCTTACCTATCCCCCGCCTTCTCTACTCCATCCCCATCAGAGCCGTGGCCTCCAACCCAGCAGCTGCGGTCCCGTCGAGAAAGGGGATGCTCCCCGTGTTCCCCTGCACTCCCCAGCCAGAGTGAGGAATGCAGCAAACTGTCCCAAGTAAACTCCTTCTGAATTGCCTCTTACCTATCCCCCACCTTCTCTACTCCATCCCCATCAGAGCTGTGGCCTCCAACCCAGCAGCTGCGGTCTCGTCGAGAAAGGGGATGCTCCCCGTGTTCCCCTGCACTCCCCAGCCAGAGTGAGGAATGCAGCAAACTCTGTACTTTCCCCTCGCTCCTTAACTCAGGGGAACAGCCAGCAATGTTCCTGTACGAATTGAGGAGGGAGGGGGGAGCTTCAACCCACCCTGTCCTCCCTGAACAGTGCCCAGAGGTGGGAGGCTCGGGGCTGGGGTGCTCCCGGATGGGAAGGGGGGTTGCGCCCCCAGCCAGCCCCTTTCACCTCATCCCAAGTAAACTCCTTCCGCATTGCCTCTTACCTATCCCCCGCCTTCTCTACTCCATCCCCATCAGAGCCGTGGCCTCCAACCCAGCAGCTGCGGTCCCGTCGAGAAAGGGGATGCTCCCCGTGTTCCCCTGCACTCCCCAGCCAGAGTGAGGAATGCAGCAAACTCTGTACTTTCCCCTCGCTCCTTAACTCAGGGGAACAGCCAGCAATGTTCCTGTACGAATTGAGGAGGGAGGGGGGAGCTTCAACCCACCCTGTCCTCCCTGAACAGTGCCCAGAGGTGGGAGGCTCGGGGCTGGGGTGCTCCCGGATGGGAAGGGGGGTTGCGCCCCCAGCCAGCCCCTTTCACCTGCCTGGTGCTTGTCTCTTTTCTGTTTGGTTTTATGAGATGCAATCCCATTCCAGGCATGTCCCATTGTCCTGGCACAACCAAACCCTGACCTTGCTTTAAGTTCGGATAAGAGGAAACCGGGTGCCTTATTTGGTGGTCCGAGCCCTTACCATATAGGAGGAGTTCTTGATCAAACAGGCAAACTCAAATATAGAATAGATTATGCCCTGCTTTTTCATTTCTCCTATTTAAAGAACAAAAACTGTCCAGTTGACTGTTGCCTCCAAGGAAAGCTGAATAATTACTACACCTATCGTGTGCTGCTTATAACTAAAGGCCCAGTTTACATTTTAACAGACTGGTTCGTCCTTAAGCAATCTTCATATTAAAATGCCAGTTCTAAAAACACCCTCACTCATTCACATTAATGCAGAGAGGAGACGCTTCAAAGAAGGAGGCGAAGCACAAGATCGGTTGTATTCTAGTAAGTTAAGCACGTAAGCTGGAGTTTCCTAGGGTTAAAACTAACATGTCACTAGAAGAACTCAAGTGGATAATAATACATTATATCCAGCTGAAGGATAATAATATATGGGCACCCCAGAAGCCCCTTGGAGTGAAAAATTTCTGCTGAACGATTGCAAATCCTAAATGTTACTTGGGAGGTAGTCTGGAAAATACTTTGTTTCCTTCCTTGGAGGTATCATTTATCTTGTTCTGAAGTATAGCGATTGCAGGCATGAACTTATAGACTAAAGTTTGTCTTAATTGCTCCTTGTGTCACAACCTCCCTGGCAGATAACAGTACAATGAATGAGTCAATGTGACCAATACCTTCAGGTCCTTTTTCTAAAGTGAGACAAATTTCTTTCCTTTGAGCCAACCAGCCTATAGGCGACTCTTTCATTTATTTATCTCCTAACAGTTTACATTAGCTTGTTCTGGATAAAAAGTCTCTTGCTCAGATTTAGTTAAAAAGTCAGTAAAAACAGGGCTTTTGCTCTCGGGGGGGTGGGGGATTTCAACGTTCAGGTTCATACTTCTGATGCCAACTCACGTAACTTTGAAAAGTCTAGTCACTAACACACTGACAGATCGTGTTATGGTTGAGATTTGTCAGGAACCTGGCAGTCTTTGCGGTTATATTTAATTAACCTGACAATAAATGTGGAAGTTTTGGTCTTCTGTCATCATTCCCGCTCCGGATCCTGGAATGCAGTGCTACTACAAGATCTTGGGGGGGACTAAAATAAATCATAGAATCATAGATCACTAGAATTGGAAGGGACCTCGAGAGGTCATCGAGTCCAGTCCCCTGTCCTCATGGCAGGACCAAGAACCGTCTTGATCATCCCTGATAGGTGTCTGTCTAACCTGCTCTTAAATATTTCCAGAGATGGAGATTCCAGAACCTCCCTGGGCAACTTATTCCAGTGTTAACCACCCTGACAGGTAGGAAGTTTTTCCTAATGTCCAACCTAAACCTCCCTTGGCAATTTATTCCAGTGTTTAAGAGGTTGGTTATGGAATATGGAACCACTCACTTACTAGAGGTTGCTTCCTGTGTGAACCACGGGGTAACGGAGAAAGCTGTTCCCCTGCAGTGGCGCTTAGGTGGCCTACGTGAAAGAAGTCAAGTCCTCGGAGACACACGGCCACCTCACAGATCACTACTGCAGAAATTCCTCAGGCTGAGTAGGCTTAGGGACTGGATTCCGCTCTCGCCTTAATGAGGGGCCTTCCACCTAACAGCATAGGAAGTACATCCCAGTGGTTACAGTATTAGCTAGAACGCCAACAATCTGGGTTCTGTTCTTCACCTCAGACCTTGTGGCGCTCGGCCATTCCTTAAGCCACGTGTGCTTTGCAGCTCTAACACCCTCACGTGGAGGCTTCCTACACCGATGGGGCAGTGGGTCCATTTCTGTAGCTAACCCATCTCTGCAAGAGACTAGCAAGATGGCCAGAAGAATCCTTCCATCAACACAGTGGCATGAACACCAGCTGTTAGGTCAACCTGACTATGGCGCTCAGGGTACAATGTTTTTCACAGCCAATCTAAGTCCTAGATGTAGACCAGGTCTTAGTGTATCTGTGCCTCAGTTCCCTGTTGGTAAAAAATGGGGAGGACAAGACTGATAAATCCACTGCAAAGTGTGAGGCACTCGTAGAAGTCCCCTTGACTGAAAGGATGAGGCACGTTCTCAGCACTGAGGGAAATTTGTGCGGCTGCTACATTTGTTCTGTGAAACCGGGACAGAAATCCCATCTCTGGCCCTTCTCTCTCCCTCATCA